GTAATTGCACTACGGGTATTTACCCAAAAAGTGCAATAGCATTAATTAAAGAGTATTATGCTAAATGAAATAAGTCAGTCAGAGAAAGACAAAGACCATATGACTTCACTCAAGTGTAGAATCTAAGAAACAAAACAAATGAGCAAAGGGAGGGGGGAGAAAGAAAGACAAACCAAGAAACAGACTCTTAACCATAGAGAACAAACAGGGTTACCAGAAGGAAGGTGGGTGGGGGGAATGGGTGAAACAGGTGAAGGGGATTAAAGAGCGCACTCACCATCATGAGCACTGGGTAAGGTATAGAATTGTTGAATCATTATATTGTACACCTGAAATTAATATAACACTGTTAACTATACTGGAATTAAAATTTTAAACTTTTTTTTTTAAAAAAGAGACTTTGCCAAAGCCTCATTTGCCAGCTAGAACAGTTGGGCCAAATTGTAACTGTTTTCCTTAATAATATGCTTTGTTCATTCAACAAATATTTAGTTATCATTTCCTATGTGCCAGGCTCTGTCCCAGAGTTTAGGGATGCAGTGGCGAACAAGACAGTCTAGATCCCTGCTCTAATAGAGTTTATATTGTACAGAGGAGAAACACATCAGCAAGCAAGCAATTAACAAAGCAAATAATTTCAGCTAGTGGCAGAAAAAAAAAAAAAAACCACTGTAGTGTGATAGAGAATGGTTGGATTGGGGAAGCTACTTTAGATTTGATTTGTTCAGCAAGGAAGATCTCTCAGAAGCAAGACTTTAATAGCAAGAAGGAGCCAGCCATGTGAGGATGTGGGGAGACAGTGGCCCAGACAGAACAATAGCAAAGGCCCTGAGGCAGGGATGAGTTTGCTGTGTCTAGGAAAAAAAGAGCTATGAAGAGAAGTTCTTCCACCAAACATACCAGGATCAGGAGTGTGCAACTTCTAGAGTAGCTGTCTGAAAGTTAAGAGCATGTACCAAAGCACAAGCATGTCTAGCCCCTAACTTTCCTCCTCCCTAACTCCAACCTCACATCCAAAAGAGAGGCTCATTTGACATAGGACAGTAATTCACATTTCAATGTTTGACAGACATTTCCAAATGATATACCTGGCTTTTTTAGTAATAGCTTCACTGAGACATAATTCACAGATCATAAAATTCACCCTTTTAAAGTATACAGTTCAATGGTTTTTAGTATATTCACTTTGCAACAACCATCACCACTATTTAATTTTCATCACCTCCAAAAAGAAACTTGAGTTCATCAAGATTATAGGATATGAGATTGATATACAAAAACCAGTTGTATTTCTGTACACTAGCAATGAACAATCCAAGCATAAAATTAAGAAAACATTTCCATTTTCAATAGTATCAAAAATAATAAAATACTTGGGGTGCCTGGGTGACTCAGTCAGATGAGTGTCTGATTCTTGGTTTTGGCTGAGATCATGATCTCAGGGTCCTGGGATCCAGCCCCACATGGAGGGGGGTGGGTCCTCGCTCAGCAGGGAGTCTGCTTGAGGATTCTCTCTCTCCCTCTCCCCTCTCCAACCTGCTCGCTCTCTCTCTCTAAAATAAAAAAATATATATTTTTAAAAATAATAAAATACTTAAGAATAAATTTAACAAATTAAATATAAGATTTGTACACTGAAAACGACAAAACATCCTTAAAAGAAATTAAAGAGGACCTAAATAAATGGAATGATATCCCACGTTCATGGTTTGGAAGACTGAATATTATTAAGATGGTGTAGTAAAATAATGGCCCCCAAAAGATGGCCATATCCTAATATCCAGAACCTGTGAACATGGCAAAAAGAGATTTTTACAGATGTGATAAAATTATGGAGATTGTTCTGGGTTATCCATGTGGGTATAATCTAATCACAAGGGTCCTTGTAAGAGGGAAGCAGTGGGTCAGTGGGTCAAGGGCAGAAGGAGGAGATGTGATGATGGAAGCAGAGGCTGGAGCAGTGCACTTTGAAGGTAGAGGAAGGGGCCATGAGTAAGGAGTGGAGGCAGCCTTTAGGAGATAGACAAAGCAAGGAAAAGGGTAATCCCCCAGGATACCAGGATAACCAGGAGCCCCTAGAAGGAATACAGCCCTGTCTGCTACCTTGATTTTAGCCACATAAGACACAGTTTGGAATTCTGACATTCAGAACTATAAGATAATAAATTTGTATTATTCTAAGCCACTGAGTTTGTGATAATTTGTTATAGCAGCAACAGAAACTAAAACACATGGTTATACTCCCCAAATTGATCTACAGTAGATCCAAAACAATCCCTATCAAAGTCTCAGCTGACCTTCTTACAGAAACTGACAAACTGATCCTAAAATTCCTAGGGAAATGCAAGGGACCCAGAATAGGTAAAATAGTCATTAAAAAAAAAAAAAAGAACAAAACTGGAGGTCTTACACTTCCTATCAAAACTTACTACAAAGCTATATAATCCAAACTCTGGCACTGACATGTGGAAAGACATATAAATCGATGGAACAGAATTGAGAGTTCAGAAATAAACCCTTACATTTATGATCCTATTTTTGACAAGGGTACCAAGACAATTCAATGGAAAAAGAATATCCTTTTCAACAAATGTTGTTGAGACAACTGGGTATCAACCTGAAAAAGAACAAAGTTTGAACAAGGGGTGCCTGGCTGGCTCAATCAGAAGAGCACGTGACTCTTGATCTTTGGGTCATGAGTTCAAGGCCCACATTGGGTATAGAGATTACTTAAAAAATAAAATCTTTTTAAAAAAATTAACTCAGGGCGCCTGGGTGGTTCAGTCGTTAAGCGTCTGCCTTCAGCTCAGGTCATGATCCCAGGGTTCTGGGATCGAGTCCCACATCGGGCTCCCTGCTCAGCGGGAAGCCTGCTTTTCTCTCTCCCACTCCCCCTGCTTGTGTTCCTGCTCTCGCTGTCTCTCTTTGTCAAATAAATAAATAAAATCTTTTAAAAAAAAATTAACTCAGAACAAAGTTCCAAATATAAGAGCTAAATCAATAAAACTTTAGAAGAAAACAGGGGTATAAATCTTTTGTGACCTTGGATTAGGCAATAGTTTCTTAGATGGGACACCAGAAGCACAGGTAACAAAAGAAAAAAAAATAGGGGCGCCTGGGTGGCTCAGTCGTTAAGCGTCTGCCTTCGGCTCAGGTCATGATCCCGGGGTCCTGGGATCGAGCCCCGCATCCGGCTCCTTGCTCCGCGGGGAGCCTGCTTCTCCCTCTCCCACTCCCCCTGCTTGTGTTCCCTCTCTCGCTGCCTCTCTCTGTCAAATAAATAAATAAAATCTTAAAAAAAAAAAAAAAGATAAATTATACTTCATCAAAATTAAAACTTTTGTGCTTTTTAAAAAATGTTTTTAAAGATTTTATTTATTTATTTGAGAGAGAGAGCACAAGCAGAGGAACAGCAGAGGGAGAAGCAGGGAGTCTGTTGCGGGGCTCGATCCCAGGACCCTGGGATCATGACCTGAGCCGAAGGCAGTCACTTAACCAACTGAGCCACCCAGAGGCCCCTGTGCTTTTTTTTTTTTTAAAGATTTATTTATTTTATTTTAGAGAGAGAGAACAGGAGAGAGAAGGGCAGAAGGAGAGAGAATCTCAAGCAGACTCCCCAGTGAGCACAGAACCCAACACGGGGCTCCATCTCTCAATCCTGAGATCACGACCTGAACTGAAACCAAGAGTCAGGTGCTTAACCAATTGTGCCACCCAGGCACCCCAAAACTTTTGTACTTTTAAAGGGCCTATCAAGGAAGTGAAAATACAACACACAAAACTGGAGAAAATGTTTGCAACTCATATATCCGTTAAGAGTCTAGTATCCACACTATATAAAGAATTCTTATAAGCCAATGATACAAAGAAAAGTAAACAAAATGGGCAAAGGGTTTGAATAGCTATTTATCCAAAGAAGATATACAAGTGGCCAATAAGCATATGAAAACATGTTCAACATCATTAGCCATCAGGGAAATGCAAATCAAGAAAACAATTAGATATCATTTCTTATCCACTAGGTTGACTGTAATTTTTAATGGAAAACAACAAGAGTTGGGAAAGACATGCAGAAATTGAAACCTTATACAATGCTAGTAGGAATATAAAATAGTTCCTGATATAATGCTACTGTGGAAAAGTTTGAAAAAAAAAATACATAGTGTTACCTCATACCCAACACTTCCGTACGTAGGTATACCCAAGAGAATTTAATACATGTATCCACACAAAAACTTGTACACAAATGTTCATAGCAGTGTTATTCATGATAGCCAAAACATGGAAACAACCAAATGTCCATCAAATGTAAACAAATAAATTAAACATGGTGTATCCATCCAAAGGAATATTATTCAATCATAAAAGACTGATGTTTTGATTCATGCTACCACATAGATGAACCTTGAAAGCATTATGCTTAATGAATGAAGCCAGTCAAAAAAGACCACAGATAGTATGAGTTATATGAAATTTCCAGAATAGGCAAATTTATAGAGACAGAAAGTAGATTTGTGGTTGTCAGAAATGTACAGAAGTGGGTATTAGGGAGTGACTGCTAATAGGTTTTTAATTTGGGGGGGTGATGAAAATGTCCTGGAATTAGATAATAGTGATTGTTGCACAGTTTTGTGGACATACTAAAATTCATTGAAATATGCACATTAAAGGGTGAATTTTATGATGTGTGAATTATCTGAAAATAAAATAATCTGAAAATAGATTAATGAATTTATGTATGTAGATACATGCCTGGGAGTGGAATTAGGCCACACAGAAAGCCTATGTTTAACTTTCTGAGGAACTGCCGAAGTTTTCCAAAGTGGCTACACCATTCTACGGTCCTGCCAGCAACGTATCAGAGGTCCAGTTTCTCCACATGCAAAGGCTCATTTTTAAGAGATCCTAGCAGACAAATCTGCAACAAAGTCTATGGGGAATAAATGTAAAATGCTGAGGTTTTCACTGTCTTAGAATCATGTGTGTGTGCTTGTTTATAGGTTTAAAAGAAAATCCATCGATGGAAGCTTTGGTTCCAGTGATGGTAAGAAAAACCCCTGGTTTCAAATTCAAATGATATCGAGTATTTGTCAACATCCCATTTGTACTTCTTTTGTCTCTCTGCCTTTCATAATTTCCAAACCCTCCCTTGGTACCTATCCCACAGAGTAATCTAATCAGCAGTCTTTCTAGAGAAAGCAGAGCTAGTGAGAACCAGTTTTCATAGTTTGGTAATTACTGAGATATGGAGCTCATACTAAGAACCTTTGCTCGGAGTATCCCTTGCAGTTACCCATAGCCCATTTATCAGCCATTCATCTTTTTTTTTAAGTTTAATCTTTTCTAGTATGTAAATTGTTATCCCCAAACTGACTTGTGAACAATAAGAATTTATTGTGTCAACTCTAATACAAAGTTCACTTTTCCCAAATTGAGATAGAGGTTTTTTTGTTCAAGTAGCTAAAAACCTGAAATATTTGAGACTAATCAGTGTAATAAAGAGTATAATAACTTCGGGAAATCCAGAGTAACTGATTATTCAACCATAGTAATATGCCCTTTCCTCCAGTCTGATAATTTGAACAAAGGAATTCGATTAGCTGATCTTTTTATCAAAACTTGAAAAAATTTAAATGTCCTCATTTTTTTAACTGAGAAATAATTGACAAGTAACACTGTATAAGTTTCAGGTGTACAACCAAATGATTTGATATTTGTATATATTGCAAAACGATCACCATGATAAGTCTAGTTAACACCCATCACCACACACAGTTATAATTTTTTTTTCTTGTGATGAGACCTTTTAAGATCTACTCTCTTAGGAACTTTCAAATATACAGTACAGTAGCACTAACTATAGTCACCAGGCGGCCCCTTAGATCCCCAGGAGTTATTTATCTTATAACTGAAGTTTATACCTTTTGTAAATGTCCTCATTTTTGAAAAGTCTAAATCAGTGTGAGATAGTGTTCATAAGTTCTTTGGCATATAGTGCTTATTTGGAAAAGGAACGGTGAAATGAGACTTGATTTTTAAGTCACATGCAGCAGATGTTTAGTTCTGTGTTTTCTGTACTTAAATGAGCCCATAGAATATTAGAAAGACACAAACTGATCCCCTGCCCACCCAGCAGGAACATTTTTCACTCTGCTGGAGGGCTGCTTCTCCTGCCATCCTTTGATTTTTTTGTCTTTCTCAATGCCAGCATGTTTATTTTTCCAGCCACCCGGGCAATTGGTTTTGATAACATTCAACTAGCAGTATGAAAGACTGTGAAAGGACACCTGCTCTAGGGTCTTTAAAATCCGAAGTCCTACTTTCCCTTGTATTCATAAAATGAATTTGTCTTCTCTCTGGATCTCATCCTTTTTCTTCTAGTGCTCTCCAAGTTTTGCTCTTATTTTAGGTCTCAGTTGAACTTAGAAAGCCTGATTAGTTGGATCCCATTGGTGCTCTGTGAAAGGGTGGTCTGTTATTTTTATTGTATGAGTGAAGACATTTTATTATTGTAATGATAATTCAAGGGATTTCTGTGTTCAGAAGAGTTTCCTGAACAGTGAAGTGTAGGTGGACAGAGCTGAGACTTTAGCCAGATCATTGTCCAAGATCAAGAAGGCTCTGAAAATTAAGAGCTATAGGCACCCTTCAGGTGGCAAGCAGAAATGAATGAATGAGAAGAAAGAAAGAAAGAAAGAAAGAAAGAAAGAAAGAAAGAAAGAAAGAAAGAAAGAAAGAAAGAAAGAAAGAAAGAAAGAAAGAAAGAAAGAAAGAAAGAAAGAAAGAAAGAAAGAAAGAAAAGGAAGAAAGAAAGAAAGAAAAGGAAGAAAGAAAAGAAGGAAGGAAGAGAGAAAGAGAAAGAAAGAAAGAGGAAAGGAAGGAAGGAAGAGAGAAAGAGGAAGTGAGGGAGAAAGAAAGACAGAGAGAGGGGGAGAAGGGAGGGAAGAAGGTGGGGAGGCAGGAAGAAAGAGTAAAGATGCATCAGTTAGGTTTCACATGGTTGCAAATAACAACAAAATAGATCTCAAAACATGCTTAAACAGTAAAGGGGCTCCTCTCCTTGCAAGTTGAGCAGAAGGGTGGGCTTTAGGGTTAACTGAGTCTGGTGGCCCTGGTCCTTTTCCCCGCCATTCCCCCGACTCTGCTTTACTTCCACATTCTTTGTTGTTAGGGGCTGTCCTGTGCACTGTAGGATGTTTAACTGCATTCTTCACCTCTACCTACTAGAAACCACTAGTACACTCCATCCTCGTGACAACTAAAAATGTCTCCAGACATTGCCAAATGTCCTCTTGGGGGCAAAATGCTCCCCCCACCTCTACCCCCCAACTGAGATTATCTGACTTAAACACACAGACTGCCAGGTGAGGATACCTGAACGAAATCCCAGCTTAGTTAGGAAGTAGGGAATAGGATTTTTCACCACAAAGGCTTTGAAATAGGGAGAATCAGGAGCCTTTGTTATGCAGACAGGCTGTATCAGAAAGATGGTATATGACAACAAGTGAGACAAGACCTAGATGCTGAAGACAAGAACAGAGAAGACACACTCTCCCTTAGGAAAGAACCAGTTAGCAACTCTTTTAAGCACATCAAAGGGAGCACTGAGAAACCAGCCTGGACCAAGAGACAGAAGCAAGTGAGGGACACTATTTAGCTGAAAGCTAAGGTGAGACATTTCAGGGGAGGAACCTTTGCCAAGGAGCAAGGATACAGAAATGCCTTTCTCTCCCAAGGGCCAGGATCCCCGTAACTATGGCGGCTACAGGAAAATCAGTGGAGCTCAGAGCTACAGGGCATGCCCTGGGGGCTAGTAGCCACAGAAAATGCTAGAAGCAGTGTCTGAAAGGGAAGGAGGATCCCATTAGACTTGGCATGGTGTCCCACTCACATCAATGTGGACCGAGACATCTGAAAGGGAGAGGTCAAATGCTACCACAACAAGAAGATGAGGCAAGGAAAACTCTTGCAAAAGAGAAGAAGCCCACTTCACTCAGCCCAGTAGGATGGTGGGAGGAAGATAGCAAGGGGGTGGGGGTAATGAGAAAGTGACCAGGTGAGCATGACTTGAATTTCTTCCTCTCCATGCTGAAATCTGGAAGTGTGGTCATGGAGTATTGATAGGTTAAAAGGAATGCCAAAACAGAGGAGATTTTACCCAGCTTATCATTGGGGACTTGGGATGCCTGTCTTTTTTTTTTTTTCCCCTCACAAACATTGTCTTTAATAGATAAGCTTAACATTGGTGGCAAATTTTAATAGAATAGAAAAGCTTCACATATATTGTTTATACATATATATAAGTATATATATAATTTTTTTAAAGATTTTATTTATTTACTTGTCAGAGAGAGAAAGCACAAGCAGGGGGAGTGGCAGAGAGAGAGGGAGAAGCAGACTCCCCGCGGAGCAGAGAGCCCAATGCAGGACTCGATCCCAGGACCCTGGGACCATGACCTGAGCCAAAGGCAGATGCTTAACCAACTGAGCCACCCAGGTGTCCCTGTTTATATTTAAAGTTTATTTATCTTTCTGAAGAGAGAAGCTCTAAAACTAACATGCACTGAGGAGGCAGGCCAGCTCTGACGCCCGGAGGACCAGGGACCTGCTCCCCTGTACACTATCCAGGTGGAGGGGAACGGTGAATCAAGGCCCTTGCCTGCTCTTCCCAGCAGAGAGAGTTCCAGTAGCTCTCCCACCATTGGTGGAGTTCTAAGGCTGGATCTTTTCTATTCTAGTTGCCCTTTTAAACCATGGTTTTTGTCTGTGCCCCAAGGCAGACAAAGCTGCTCACGGTCCCTCAGAACTATCCCTCCCACAGCAGTTCCTACAGGGCCCTTCGTTAGCACGTCTTTATTTTTCTTGCTCTTCTATCTTTAGTTGTGCAGAAGCTGCTCAGTCAGCCCTCAGTTCTTCAGGAGGAATTGCTCTATAAATAGGTGTAGATTTGGTGTGTCCGTGGAGGAGGTGAGTTCAGTGTCTTCTCACGTTGCCGTCTTGGACTGGAACTCTCTCCTCAACTTTTGAAACCTTGGGGATAGGTAGCCTATTGGCATAAAACTGAAATTTCTGGGCAGTGAGTTCGCATCATTTCTGACTCCCTCTTCAGCTTCCAACCTCCTGAGTCCAGAGACAGAAGAAGGCAGGACGATTATAAATATGAAGTCCCTGAAAGATCCAAACATGCTCAAAATGAAGTTTTCCTCCTCACACTGAGCACTTAACATAAAAAGCCAGCATGCAAGCATATCTTATTCAATGTTAGTAAACAGATGGCAAAGGGTTCATGCTCCGAAAAAAAGATGCCAGAACAAGTTTCTTCATTAAGATGAGCTCATTCACAACTTTATATGTTTACTTCTTCCCACCCAGAACATCTTGGTCTTTCCTATAAACTGATATTTTGTGTTTAATTATTTCTAAATACCATAGAGTTAAATATAAATATAACTCCCCTTCTGGGAGCATCAAGTATATTTGAAGTTTGGGAGATGACGCTTTGGTTTTTTGCAGTCAGTGAAGGCCTTAGACGTTAGAAAAATTAATAGAATACTGTTATCCCGTGTTGGCCAATCTCATATTTAAACTGTGCCTATAGAAGTCCACAAAGTTAAAACATCTTTGTGTTTTGTATTGCCCATGAAAATCCTGATGTTCTTGTCCATCATAGAATCACTGGTGTTGCAGATGAGCCAGACCTGAGTATCGAAGTCAGTAACACAGCCAAGTCTGAACAGACCCACACAGCTGGCTTTTGCTTTTTAATGAAGTTTCACCTAACAAAACAGTGATTGTTTTTGTTTGCTCACTTGCTTTGATTTTAGCTTTTGTGTTTTTTTCTCCTTTGTTTACTCCCACGAAAACATTGCTTCCCACAAACCATTTCAACCTCCTACCATAACCAAACTCAAGCATTTTCCTATGCACACTTCTACTTCGCATAGCAGAGGGCTTCTCAGTAACACCAAAATGGCAAAAATTCTGGGTTTTATGATTTTAGTGTCATTCTGCACTTACTATTTACACATCTAATATTTTTTTAATTACAACTTTATAAAAGGACATAGGTTAATGGTTAAAAAGAGGGAGCTTAAATCTACAGATTTGATCCCTATCAAAATACAGCATTTTTCACAGAACTAGAATAAATAATCCTAAAATTTGTAGGGAACCACAAGAGACCCCAAACAGCCAAAGCAGTCTTGAAAAAGATGAACAAAACTGGAGGTATCACAACTGCAGATTTCAAGATATACTACAAAACTGTAGTGATCAAAAGAGTATGGTACTGACACAAAAATAGACACGTAGATCAATGGGACAGGATAGAGGACCCAAAAATAAGCCCACACTTTTATGGTCAATTAATCTACAGCAAAAGAGGCAAGAATATACAATGGGAAGGAAAAATACAGTCTCTTCAACAAATGGTGCTAGAAAAACTGGACATTCATGCAAAAGAATGAAACTGAACCACTGTCTTCTTACACCATACACAAAAATAAACTCGAAATAGATTAAAGACCTAAATGTGAGACCTAAAACCATAAAACTTCTAGAAGAAAACATAAGCTGTGATCTCTTTGACATCAGCCTTAGCAACATTAGATGTGTCTCTTTGATCAAGGGAAACAAAAGCAAAAATAAACTAATGGGGCTACACCAAAATAAAAAGTTTCTGCACATCAAATGAAACCATCAACAGAACAAAAAGACAACTTACTGAATGGAAGAAGATATTTACAAATGATTTATCCAATAAGGAATTTTATCTGAAGTATATAAAGAACCTATATAACTCAACACCAAAAAAACACACACAAATAATCCAATTTAAAAATAGGCAGAAGACATGAACAGACGTTTTTCCAAAGAAGACATCCGGATGGCCAACAGACACCTGAAAAGATGCTCAACATCAATCATCATCAGGGAAATGCAAATCAAAACCACAATAAGATACCTGTCATACCTGTCAGAATGGCTAAAATCAAAAAAGCAAGATATAACAAGTGTCCAACAAGGATATGGAGAAAAAAGAACCCTCATGCACTGTTGGTGGGAATGCAAACTAATGCAGCTGTTGTGGAAAACAGTATGGAGATTCCTCAAAAAATTAAAAAATAGAATTACCATATAATCCAGTAATTTCTACTGGGTATTTATCCCCCAAAAATGAAAACACTAATTCAAAAAGATATATGTACCCCTATGTTTCTTGCAGCATTATTTATAATAACCAAATTATGGAAGCAGCCCAAGTGTCTATAGGTAGATGAATGAATAAAGAAGATGTGGGGGCTGTGCATGTGTGTGTGTGTGTGATAGAATATTACTTAGGGGTGCCTGGGTGGCTCAGTCCTTTAAGCGGCTGACTCTGGTTTCGGCTCAGGTCATGATCTCAGGGTGGTGAGATGGAGCCCCACATCCTGTGCCTCAGGATTCTCTCTTTCTCTTTCCCTCTGTCCCTCCCCCTTTACACTCTCTCTCTCTCTCAAACAGGTAAATAAGTCTTTAAAAAAAATACTACTCAGCCATAAAAAAGAATGAAATCCTGCCATTTGCAACAACATGGATGGATCTAGAGGGTATACTGCTAAGTGAAATAAGTCAGTCAGAGAAAGACAAATACCATATGATTTCACTCATATGTGGAATTTAAGGAACAAAGCAGACGAACAAAGAAAAAGAGATAAAAAAAAAAAAAAGGCTTTTAAATACAGAAATTAAACTGGTGGTTGCCCGAGGGGAGGTGGGTGGGGTGATGGGTGAAATAGGTGATGGGGAGTAAGAGTACACTTACGATGAGCACTGAGTAATGTACAGAATTGTTGAATCATGTTGTACACCTGGAACTAGTATAACACTGTATGTTAGTTATACTTGAGTAGAAATTTTTTAAAAAGAGGGAGCTTAAGCGTGAAAAGAGAAAAATGTGAAAGACACTGAGGGAAATGTAAAAGGCTGCATCACCTGGGATGAGCCCATCACCATGGTTTCTGTGAGACTCCCCGCAGTGAACTAGACAGAACGAAGATACTAGCATGACCCAATAGAGAATCATCGACAAACAGCAGTAGACAACCTAAAAACAAATGTTGAGCTTAGATACTTCTTTAAAGTATCAGCTTACTATAGTGGAGATGCAAAGAAGTCTCAACCTCCTTGTCTCTTTTGAAAGATATTCTTGGGCACTCCATGAAAGTAACACCCTTGCTGCCAGACATTCATATTTTGAAGGAAAATCCCTGTATTATTTTTCAGTTAAGAAGATAAGTTTTGGGGGCACCTGGGTGGCTCAGTCAGTTAAGCGTCTGCCCCTTCGGCTCAGGTCATGATCCCAGGGTCCTGGGATTGAGCCCCGCATCGGGCTCCCTGCTCAGCGGGGAGTCTGCTTCTCCCTCTGCCTCTGCCCCCCGCGCCCCGTGTTCATGCTCTCTCTCGCTCTCTCTCCCTCCCTCAAATAAATAAAATCCTTTTAAAAAAAGAAGATACGTTTTGGGCGCCTGGGTGGCTCAGTCGGTTAAGCACATGACTCTTGGTTTTGGCTCACGTCACGATCTCAGGGTCATGAGACCGAGCCCCAAGTTGGGCTCCATGCTGGGCGTGGAGCCTGCTTAAGACTCTCCCTTCCCCTCTCCCTCTGACCCTCCCCCTGCTCACACTCACACTCTCTCTCTCCCCCCCCAAAAAGAAGAAGAAAAGTTATAACTGAAACCAGTACAATGAACCCCCTCTCCACCCACGATCTGAGGGACTCTGGGCAAATCACCTGATTTCTCAAGTGCCTCCCTTTTGTTATTTTAAAATGGGGATGGTAGTACCCACCTCATAGGGCTGTTGAAAAATTAGAAGAGTAAATTCTTGTAAAGAACTTAAAAGGTGTCTGACATACAGTAAGTTTTCAGTAAACACTAGCCGGTAGTAGTAGGAGTCGTACTAGTAGGAGTAGTAGGAGTAGTAGGAGTAGTCATCGCCGTAGTAACAACAATGGGAGCACGAGTCACGGCGGCAGCACCAGCGGTGCAGGAATAGCACGTGGGACTCGTTAGAGTCAGGAGTCGCAGTAGCAGAAGCAGCAACCAAAGCTCTGTGCTGTGACTATGGCCAGATCTGTCCTAGGTCAAGGAGCCAAACTACACAACAGCCCCACATGACGCTGCTGTTGTGCACAAAGAAAATGTAGTATCGCCTACGTAAGCATCTGTGGATAACCTGCTTCTTTGCCTTGAAGTTGGATAAAAAGCTCAGAGGGTGTTGACACCACGTTACATATTTATGGGTGAGCCCAAGAATGGCCAAGGAACATCTGTGTTCTTGAAGTGATAAGAACTAGATCAGGGCGCCTGGGTGGCTCAGTCGTTAAGCGTCTGCCTTGGGCTCAGGTCATGGTCCCAGGGTCCTGGGATCGAGCCCCGCATCGGGCTCCCTGCTCAGCAGGAAGCCTGCTTCTCCCTCTCCCGCTGTGCTTTCTCTCTCTCAAATAAATAAATAAATCTTAAAAAAAAGAAGATATTTTGAGGCGCCTGGGTGGCTCAGTCGTTAAGCGTCTGCCTTCGGCTCAGGTCATGATCCCAGGGTCCTGGGATCGAGCCCCACATCAGGCTCCCTGCTCGGCGGGAAGCCTGCTTCTCCCTCCCACTCCCGCTGCTTGCGTTCCCTCTCTCGCTGTGTCTCTCTCTGTCAAAATAAATAAATAAAATCTTTAAAAAAAAAAGAAGAACTAGATCAAGGAATCCCCAGGCCTGGGGACAGTGCCAGGGAGTCCGCATTCTGAGGGCCTGGGAACAGCCTTGCCCACCAGGAACACCGTGTTAGCCAAAGGCCTTGCCGTCCAGCTGGGCCCACTCTTGGCTACGCTACCCAAAGGAGGAAGGAAATTGCGTCTCTAGGCCATCTTTCATCATCTGGCTAAATATTTTGAACTCAGGATTTAATTCTTTTTCTTCATGAAGAAAAGGAATGGACAGACCAAGAGTAAAAACCATGATAAAGCCTACAGATGGGCTTGCTTTTAATGTTTTTACTACTCACCAGTGGGAGGAAGTTTAAGAGCTGGATGAAGAGAGTTGGCTGTGACAAATGAGGAACTGTTGGAGGCTTTTGGTTCCATTCCACATGTTACGTACTGGAGCACGAATGTAAGCTACAGCGAAGTGTATTTTCTGTGAAGAAATGGAAATATATTTACAGTGAGGCTATTATAGAATATCCTCAGTTATGTGTCTTCCCTGAAAATATATTTCCCTGCCACAGTGTGAGACTGACCAGTTAACTCACAGACTTTTTTTTGCCTGTAATGTAGTACAAGCAACCTCACCTCAGAAGAAAGATCCAGTATTGAAATTCCCACCAGCCTGACAATATCCCAGATCCCAGATCCTTGACAAAGCTCAGGAGGCAGTGAAGAAATATTCTCCTGCATCTCCACAGACAGAGTGTGGCTCCTGGAAACATTGCAGCATTAAGTCAGTCAGAGAAATGGCCTAGATAAGCTGCTTGTTTGTGGTTTCTCCTCTCCTTGTTCAGCTCTGCCTAATCCTCAGAGGTGGATAAACTCAGTGAAGAGCATCTTGTCTGATAACCAAGGAGATGGTCCGGAGATATTTTTCTCTGATATTTGTGCTGGCCTGGCTCCAGAGGACACCACCAGACTCAGGAATGAGTTCGCTCCCTGTGCTGCCAGAAGGAGTACCTCAATGAAAATGTTTGAGGAACATTATCTTATTCAGTTTTTCTCTCCCTGCCAAGAGGCATTTGGCAACAGATCCAGAAATCTCTCTCAAAATATCTCATATTCTTCCATATCCTTAGCTCAGTTGTCATCATTCATCGCTCCGAGGAGTGCAGTAATGTCCTGCCTATCTGGGCTCATCCGGCCGATAGTCAGGGTACTGCTAAATGCTATTTTAAACACCTCCAAATTACAGTGCTTTCATCAGAGAAGTTTATTTCTATGTTTCCATTCAGTGGCGGCCTTCCTCCAAGTGATTTTAGGACCTCTGCCCCTTTGTTCTTGCGATTCTGCAATCCCTTCAGGCAGGAACCAGAAGATTTTTTCTCTGTAAGGTGCCAAAGAGCAAATATGTTAGACGTCTCTGTCGCAACTTCTCAACTCTTCCGCCATAGCCAAAGGCAGCCATAGAAGAACCCAAAGACTGTGGCTGTGTTTTGATAGAAATTTATATATGAATACTGAAATTGGAATTTCATGTAATTTTTACCTGTCATGAAATCTTCTTTTGATTTCTTTCCCCAACTGTTTATTTTAGTATATGTGCTACCGAAGCGAGCACAACCATTTAAAAATTTTAAAACCATTCTGACTTCAAGGGCCGTACAAAAACAGGTGGCAGGCTAGATTTGGCCCCCAGGTCAAGTTTGGTGAGTCTTGTATTATTAGGGTAGAAAGAAAATCAAGTTTAAAATGCTGTGGCCTTATGATTCAAGCTACTTAGAGTTGTGTTGTTTTGTTTCGGCAGCTGGACGTAAAGCATTGGCCTTTTTGTGTTTCTTTCCAACAGGCTCTGGAAATACGGCGGTGTCACATCCCATTGCTGCCGGCACCCCTGAAGGAAGCAATTACGGGGCAATAGGTATTTCCTACAATGAGTCCATTCACTGAAGTATTTCCTAATTCTCCAGAGAATAGGATACAAAGGGCCCTCCAGCCACTACTGACCAAGAGTGGGCAAGGCAGTCATCATGTGAGACTGTCTTTTCTTTATGACATGAATCGGTTGGGTGATCTGGAAGGCTCCTTCCAGCTCTAACTCTCTCCAGTTTTGTTCTTCTGTGCCAGCCACACGTGAGCCGAATTCCCTACTGTGGGAAACATCCCGTGGGGATGTTTTCATACCCGGCCTGAGTTTGGGGCATGAACAGTGTGTCAGAGTCAACGTCAAGGAGCCTGACGTCAATTGACGAGCTGTTTCATTCTTAGGTTTTGGTGGAGTAAGGGTGATCAGAAGACTAAGGCTCTGCTGCAGGTGAACGTGGCTGTAGCCTGTATCAGTCATTCGTTCTGGCTATAACTTCATAGCTGACCCTAGTCATTCACATGGCAACGCCCCAGGGTTCATTGCGTGGCCTGAAGGAGACAGTTCCTGTGGGTCTATGAATGGTGCGCTTAAAATGTCAGGGCAGAGGGGCGGGGAGTCCTTATTCCTGCTCGGGTGGTGCTGTAACGTTGAGAAGCATGTGGGTTTCATGCAGGCTACTTATTTCTGGCTCCGTAAGAACAGGGTTTTGTTGTGGTGGGTTTTTTGGGTTTTTTTTTTTAACACTCTGAACAGAAGAAATAAAGCGGAAGGTAGACTCAGCTCATGTGCTCATCAAGCTGCGCAAATTCCCATCTGCTCTGGGAAACATTCACGAGAACACAAGGACTCTTCTCCCCGAGAGTGTTGTTCTCATTATATAATCATAGATACGGCATGTGGGGGATTTCGGTGTACAAATACTTTCTCCACGAGCAATGTCTAGCTGCTGGATATGTGTGTGCTTACACGGATATGTGGTAGATGCTATACAAAACTGTGCATGTATATGTTTATATATTTATGTTCATATTTTAAAATATGAAACATGACATATAAGCATAATCTTATTTTTTGCATCCAGATACTTTATCAGAGCAGATGCCTTTATGTTCTTAATATGTATTTGGCCCTAGAGATAGACAATTAGAAGTCCACTGAGGAGGAATTGAGAGAAAGCACATGTATTGTGGGTAAGGAGTTCATTTTTACCAGCACATCTGCAAGAATGAGTCAGCACTGTGCTTTTTTGCAGAGAGGAATGGGCTGCATGGGTCCATCCTAGCTCTGGAAGGCAGCTGAGTTTTCTCTGTTTCAGAGGGGTCAAGTTCCAGTCCTGGCAGGCAGATGTCCTCCCCCAATAGTGGGCAGACGTTCCAGTCAGACACAGACAGCTCCGTGGAGGAGAGTGACTTCGACACCTTGCCAGACATTGAGAGTGATAAGAACATCATCCGGACCAAGGTATCTCTGCTTGGCCAAACTCTGGGCAAGGGCAGAAAGTTCAACAGTCAAATACACCTTCAGCAAGCCTCAGTTTCCTTTATTTTTTCCTTTCAAGGGAAAACCAAACTTCCCTGAGGGCTTTTGAGATAAAACATAAGTACAGACTATAAACAATACTCTGCTAATTAGCATTTCTTTCTGGAGGAAGAAAGTGAGAGCATTTAGGAGAACAGAGCATTTTATTCCAGATCCTCGGGGTCTGGGGGAGCCTGGCTGGCTCAGCCAGAAGAACATGCTACTCTTGATCTCTGAGTTGTAAGTTCAAGCCCCATGTTGGGTGTAGAGATTACTTACATAAATAAAACTTTAAACAACAACAGCAACAACGACACCACCACTCAGGGTCTGAAGTGGCTGACTGAGGACCATAAAGGAGGAAGGGATCCAGCAAATGGAAGAAAAGATTCACTGAGGGGTATACCTGGGAAAACTCCCTGGTTCTGCACATAACATCCTTTAGGAATAAAGCCCATTTCTTTCTGGCATATATTTATTTTATTGTGTTGTAGCCAGTAAGAGAGATGAAAGTAGATTGCCCAGTTTCAATCCTGTCATTCGAGAACCACACACTGGACATCTCTGAAAACCGAAAACCAGTTCCTGAGATATATGAAGCATTTGAGACTCCCAGTAGTTTTTCCGCATCAGCCGATTCTTACTATTTCAGAGAAAATACTAGGATTTTTACTGAGGTATTGTGAAAAAAAAAATTGAAAGAAAAGTTTTATTAAATGTTTTTAATCCCTAGCGAGGTATTGGATTGAAATTTTGTAAAGCTCTCCTTTGTATCTTCTGCCAAAAAAGCCAAGTACAGTTTTGCATTCTCTTTTTATTTGGTATCCTAGGTGTTCCTTTTCCTGTCAGATCTGTCCCGGAAGGACCGGAGAATTATCAGCAAAAAATATAAGATTTATTTTTGGTGAGTGGATGATTGCTAGGACCACAGTTCCCTTGAATAAAATGAAAGTTTTCTTAGTAAAAGCCACAATCACTTATGGCACCAGCTTCTGTATAATGAGGCAACGGTGTAGATGTTCCGAGAATTCATGCCACATTCCATAAGAAAAACAAAAATAAACTATAAAAGGCAACCAGCCCTAAACTAAATACATACAAAGTAAAAACGAGAATGATGGTGGACTCCCACATGTCTAGAGAGCACACCAAATCCATTTCCAGAAAGACAACATAACAATAACCTGTCACTACCTCCCATGAGACACACTAAACTGGAGCCTTTATGTTCTTAATATGTATTCTGTCTTCTCACCCAGCCTGGATCTTAGAAGAGCCAGTGATTTCGGGGACTAGAGGTCTACAGCATCTCAGAGTAGCTGGAAACCACCCTGAGAGGAGATGGTACCCCAGCCAGTGATAAATTGCCCTGTGGTGGTCAAGCACTTCCAGATGCATCCTCTCTCCAACCCGAGAGGCTGAGCCGCCTGGCAAGAGACACCCCCCCACCTCCCACCTCGCACCCTGCACCACCCCCAGAAACCCCAAGCTGATGCTGTGATAGCTCTTCCATTCTTTTCTCTGGAAGGACGCCCTTTTACTTGGGTACAGACGGTCAAGGGAAGCAAGGGACAGTGGGGAATTTCATAGTGGGACCATCATTTTGGAACTAAGAGGTATCTAAGAGAGCCACATCCCTTCATGCGATCCATCTCCCATTACTTACACTCTGATCACTTTCAATCAGACAACATCCTCATCCATAATTTGGGTAAAGCAGAAGCAAGTGTTATTTATAATTTTACCAATGATTGTAGTTGTGGAACTCTGGAGAGACAGGAACTCTATTAATCAGTTTCTAATTACTTTTACAAGTTAACTAGGGAGTTATGGGGTGGAAGGATTCTTTTTTTAAAAATTGAGCAAAGATTCCATTGGTAATTTGGAAAACTATTTCCTGTTCTTTCTGCCTGCTTAGGAACATCGTCACCATTGCTGTGTTTTATGCACTGCCTGTGATCCAGCTGGTCATCACCTACCAGATAGTAAGTATTACCCAGAAGCCCAGAAGCCCAGCTTTCATACTGCAGGGAGAGATCTTTGCTATGACTTACAGAGAGAAGTATATATCACTTGAGCTCAGTCCAAATATGAATTTCCCCCTTCAGTTCCAATTGGACTTGTCCATTGCTTCATCTTTGATGGACCTTTATATCCAGTTCCCAACTGTTTTATCACAGAAGGGCTTGGGACCTCTTATATTATTTTGTCACCCAATTTGAAGGTATTGCCTTATGCTCATTCAGTCATAATATCTATCAACTATATCTGCCATTTACCAGGCTGAACTTCTGATTATCAAGGGGTAATGGATGGAGTAAATAAAGTTCCAGACCAAAACAAAGAAACCTGGTGTGTAATTTAGCCTGTGCCCTCTCGTTGAGGGTAAATATTTTTTTTTTAATTTTTTATTTATTTGCAAGAGAGAGAATGAGATAGAGAGAGCATGAGAGGGAGGAGGGTCCGAGGGAGAAGCAGACTCCCTGCCGAGCAGGGAGCCCGATGCGGGACTCGATCCCGGGACTCCAGGATCATGACCTGAGCCGAAGGCAGTCGCCTAACCAACTGAGCCACCCAGGCGCCCCGAGGGTAAATATTTTTTATAAAACTAAAAACAGCTTTACAAAACCAATAAGATACTCAAATTTAAAAAAAATATAAAATAAGAACTAAAAGTAAAAAAAAAAATAAAGATAATAATTAAAGCATCTTGAGAATCCTCATTACTCCTTCATAGAACCTTGGGGTCCAGATCACTTAAGGACCATCTCTAGCATTTATTACATACAGAAAGCCTACTTAAAAAGGATGAGGCTGGGGCGCCTGGGTGGCTCAGTTGTTAAGCAACTGCCTTCGGCTCAGGTCATGGTCCCAGGGTCCTGGGATCGAGTCCCATATCGGGCTCCCTGCTCTGCGGGAAGCCTGCTTCTCCCTCTCCCACTCCCCCTGCTTGTGTTCCCTCTCTCGCTGTGTCTCTCTCTGTCAAATAAATAAATAAAATCTTTCAAAAAAAAAAAAAAGGGTGAGGCTGGGGGCACCTCGATGGCTCAGTCGTTAAGCGTCTGTCTTCGGCTCAGGTCATGATCCCAGGGTCCTGGGATCGAGTCCCGCATCGGGCTCCCCACTCTGCAGGAAGTCTGCTTCTCCTCTCCCACTCTCCCTGCTTGTGTTCCCTTTCTCTCTGTCTCTCTCTGTCTCTCTGTCAAAAAATAAATTAAAAATCTTTAAAATAAAAAATAAATAAATAAAAAGGATGAGGCTGACGGTGTTTCTAAGGCAGTGCCTCTCAAACTGCTGTGCATCAAAATCACCTGGGAAGCTTTTAAATCCTGGTGTCCACGCTGTACCCCATACCAAATTAGATCCAAGTCTCTGAGAGTAGAGCCAGGCATCAGTATTGATTAAACCCCAGTGATTCTAATGTATAGCCACGTTTGAAAAGCAATGGTCTAATAATATTTAGCCAATTCCATACTTACTATGGGATGAGGAGAAGGACTTTTATGAGGTTTGGGCACCACTGCTTGTAATCTCAGTATTCTCTGAGTACCTCAGGGCCCTGTCAGAAGATAGAGCTGGGAAGGTTCTCAATGATAGAGATGGTGATAAATATAGAAAACTGAACACACACCTCCTCATGTTGACTTGCCCCGTGGTTAGCACTTCCACGCACAGCATGGGACAGCTCCATACCCTTCCACATGCATCTCGAAAATAGAACATATCATGACAGTCCTAATAAGCCTGTGCTATGTGAAGGGGGCAGACGATGACCTGTCCTCGGCTGAGAAGGAACACTGGTTATGTGGCAAATCACTGTGCTCAGTGCCTGCCTTTTGTGATTTCAGGCTGGGCTCAGCAGATGGGGAAACATGCAGCTCCTCTTCTCACTCTTGATTTTGCAGGTGGCAAACACCACGGGCAATCAGGACATATGCTACTACAACTTCCTCTGTGCCCACCCCCTGGGCGTCCTGAGGTGAGCCCCGTCCTCTGGTTGCCCGTGAGGCATTTACAGGTTCCTTTCTGGGTGATGCGATGTCAGTTTTTAAAAATACTAAAAACAACCATGGAAAACTACCCCAGTCAAGGGTAAAGAAGGATGAAATCTAGAAGTTTTGAGACCAGATGTGCTCCTCTCATTCCTGTATTCCTAAGAATAACCAGCTGAGAAGAGGGCAGGGATGTTTTTGAAAAGAGCAGGTCCCAGCTGTGATGACATTCATCCGTGAGCGTCATACGAGGGGCTCCTGTGTTAGTCCATTGAACAACCTCATAAAATAGATAGGATTATTATTACTCCCATTTTCAGATGAAGATGCTAAGGCTTAGAAAGGTAAGGACTTGTTGTGGGAGGTCCCTCGACGGTTAATGCTGTCAGGACTCGAACCCGGGCCTGCTGCCTCCAAGGCCATGCTCTGCCCACCAGAACATGGTGAAGTGGAAAGAGCATTCGCCTGGCGGTTGGAGCCGGGCTTCTTGTCCCAGAAGTAAAGTAGCCTCCGTTTCCTGAAATAAAGCAGCTGGCTATGACCAGCTGACCCTTCACGGTTACAGAGCTGAATGTTGACACACATAGCATGGGTCCGGCTATGAGAGTTCCCTCTCACGGTGTAGCTGAAACTCTTGGCCAAGCTGCCCATCCTGGGAGCAGCTGTTTGCCAGGATTCATCCCATATCAGTGCCATCAGGATAAGAGAGGCTTGGGTGAGGGTTAGGGAAGCCAATCAGGCATCCCAGAGCAGAAACGGACACATCACAGGCTAGGCATCCTAAAATAAAGGAGTGAGGTTAAAGATGATCTCTCATGATTTGCCAGTCGTGAAATCTGATGATAGGGCTGGGCGGAAAACATGGAATGCTGAGAGTACTCACTCATTCATGTATTCATTCATGCATTCATTCATTCATTCTCCAAATCTCTGGGATCGCCTGGACTCTCTCATGGTTTCTCTCTCATCTCTTAGTGCCTTCAACAACATTTTTAGTAACCTGGGCTACGTGCTCCTGGGTTTCCTGTTCCTGCTGATTGTCTTGCACCGGGACATTCTCCATCACAGAGCCCTGGAAGCCAAGGACAGTTTTGCCATGGTGAGGAGAGGGTGGGTAAATCAGATGTGGGAGCTAGGAAGGGTCATGTTCCACACAGTATCTGCAAAGGGGAGGGACATCTGGCTGGATCGTGTGGTGGTGGGTTATGTGAAAAGCTTGGGTTTCCAGATTCTATGGCTATATCACCAATTGGTGTCTTTCCACTGACCACGCTTTCTCCTCTTTCAGGAGTATGGGATTCCTAAACACTTTGGTGTTTTCTATGCAATGGGCATCGCATTGATCATGGAAGGAGTGCTCAGTGCTTGTTACCATGTCTGCCCTAATTACTCCAACTTCCAATTCGGTAATTAGAATTTCCATCAACACACAGATTTGAGTTATAGGAGTCTTGTCCTGGGGCCCTCCCCAAATGCATGCAAGAATTAAATGATATTTTATGTGAGCTAAAGTGATTTGAGGGCATCTCCTCACTGGGCATGGTTTCCACATGTTGTACCATCTTTTCTCTCTGACCACCTTTCAGACTAGAAAAGGCTCAACATTGAATGATGATCCCATGGTTAGATCTGCAGGTGGGCAATGGGCTAAGCATTAGGCAGCAGGGCAGATAGAATCCACCAACAGACATCTGGAAAGTTCCCTTAGTATAATTTGGCCTAACTTAGCAATTAGACTGCTTTGGGTTGAAAATAATAGAAAGCCCAGTTCAACTGGTTTAAACAATAAGGACAATTATCAGCTCACCTTCTGAAAATCCAAAGGTGGGAAAGGCTTGTGATTGATTCCTCAGGCCGCTCTGGCTCCGGTTCTCTTCGATCCCTTGGATTGGGCTCGGCCTGTAGGCTGATTTTATCCTCAGGCTTTTAGGAAACTCATGATGGCAAGAATAGCTACAGCAGGTCCTGGCTTCCTGTCTCTACTTCATGATGTTTGGTGGATGCAGCAAGCTGGTTTCCAGGAGCCTTTATTTAAGAGCGAGGAAACTTCTTTGCCAAAAACCCTCAGAGAATGTTCTTCCACACCTAGGTAGTTTAAATGTCACGAGCCCATTCCAGAATTTTTCCCTAGGTGCTGGTTAGCTCGAGCCTGGGTTGGTACAGCAATCACGGTGGCAAAGGAGGGGCGTTATCTTAAACCAGTGAGACCCATCCATGGAACCAGGGGTTGGAGTAGCTTTGCTGAAACAAATAGGCTGGAAAGGCATGCATTTCTGAATTGAAAATGGGGCTAAGATATTTGAGTTAGTACTGATATGCTGTCGGGAAGGAGGAAGGGAAGAGCTGTTGCTAGTAGTAGGCAATTAACCGTGACCCCCACACTCAAGGATACGAATTTTAAGAACAGCCGTTTTCATGTTTGTGTTCCAGCCTCTGTCTATGAACCCAGAACACCACAGAAATTCTCTGTCACATTTAATTTTTTTTAATTAGAAACATTTTTAGTAGAAAAAAACTACAGAGAACAGTATCAGTCACCACTCAGAACAAATGCCAACATTTAAAAATATTTGCCTTAAATCGACCTTTTAGGAACTAAGACGCTGTGATAAAGTTGAGGTTCTTTGAACTGCTTTCCAAACTTATTCCCCTCCCTCCTTCCCCAGAGGCAACAGCTATGACTAATTCGATATTTATCAGTCCCGTTTGTTTTTATAATTTTACTACGTCTGTAGTAAATTAATATTTACTTATCACACTATGTTCTGTAACTTCTTTTTTCATCCAACAATATGTTTTCAAGATTTATCAATATTGAATCAAGGACATCCGATTCACTCATTTTTAAGGACTGTCATCTTCTGTAATAAAAATATGTACTCTACATTTATCAGTTCCCCCGTGGAACACCATGCAGTTGTCTCTGGCACGTTGCTGTTGCAGATGGGGCCACAGGGAACACGTGGGAGAGGTTCCCTGGGACACCTAGACCTAGAATTTTGGAGTCACCTGGGTCATGCATCTTCCATTTTGCCAAAAACGTCCCAGTTTCTACAGAGTATTAATTTCTACTCCCACCAGCTGCCTGAGAGTTCCCATTTCCCTACATCATCACGAACGTGTTATTGTCCGACATTTAAATGTTTTGCTACATTCTTGAGTAATATGGACTTTGCCTTGTTGTTTTAATTTGCATTTCCATGCAGCTCTCATGCAGCTACGCCCCATTTAATTTCTAGCTGTCTTCCATCCTTTGGCTATAAAGCTATGTATGAGCAGCAATCAATGTGGTTCTATTTCGGGATGCTGATAAGGACCTTCGACACCCACCTAGGATTCTTTGTATTGTCCCAGCGCCCTAATCGTTATCAGTATGGACTCCTGTTATAGCTGCTGAACACATTTAAACACAAATTTCCCTGCAAGTGGGGACAGTCAATTATTTATCATGTGATCAGATACCTGGCTTTGGTGAACTAGGAGCAGCATCGGAGGGGTTTAGAAGTGGAGTGTATAGGGTCTGGCTAGAGAACGTGCCCATGGAGGCTGTCATGTTGGAGGTCTCCACATAGTCTGAGGGCAGCAAATACTCCAGGGCCTGAAGGCAGGGGCTTCCCAAGCTCAAGAGAAACTCTGTTGCCTGCTGGATCCTGACTGTTTGGGCTCCTCCCGTGTGCCCTCAGACACCTCCTTCATGTATATGATTGCCGGCCTCTGCATGCTGAAGCTCTACCAGACCCGTCACCCGGACATCAATGCCAGTGCCTACGCCGCCTACGCCTCCTTCGCGGCCGTCATCACGCTCACTGTCCTCGGAGTGGTTCGTGTCCCCCGCCCCCCCACAGCCTTCAGCCCCGTTTTCCAAGCGCGCCCCTGGGGAGGTTTTCCGTTGTTTGTCTGCTGGACCTCAGGGGAACAGGTCTGAATGAATCACAGTCCTCGGTTCCTGATAGGCAGCCACTGTGGGTCACTTTGTGGCATTTTATTGACTTAATGAGCTAGTTATCTCTAATAATGGAAGAGGCACCTGTAGAGCGCGTGCTGCAGAGTGTCTCGGTCAAGCTGGGACCTGACTCACGTGAGATCGGCGCCGAGATGTACAAGCTGATTGGAGAGACAGACTGAGTAGACGCCACTCGTGGAATGTGCAGGGACACGTGTGGGTTGGGTGCAGTTGTTTGAAGAGCGTTCGCCCCCAGCTCTAGACCTGTTGCCCCTTCACTGTTGCTGTTCGGTGCCTCCCCCGTCTCTTCCCTCTCCCGCTGTCATTTGGCCAGGCGGCCGTCCATTTTCGTGCAGTAAGATTCCAGTGAGCTCACAGAAGTGAGGGGACACCACAATGCATGCACAGCTGGGGTTTTGACTCCAGATGCATACATGAGAGACAGAATGATTTTCGTGAGTTCTGTGGGGCGCACCCCAGATGAAGATAACTTCCATCTTTACTCCTAGGTGTTTGGAAAAAATGACGTGTGGTTCTGGGTCATCTTCTCTGTGATCCATGTCCTGGCGTCCCTGGCCCTCAGCACCCAGATCTACTACATGGGTCGTTTCAAGATCGGTGAGTCACCTGTCACTCTACACTAAACACACTGATAAATGTACCAAGAAAGCATTGTCTTTGCTTACCCTAAACGGTAAGCTGGTCATCATGAACACGGGCTCTGAATTCTGGGTTTAATAACTTTTCCTGTACAGGATCACAATGAGCTGTTGCCACTAGTTCTCTTTTCAGCTGAGAAGTAGGCTTGCCATACCTCAGACTGAGGCCGACCTCCAGCTCCAAGTCCCAGTGCTTTATAACTCAGAGCACTCTGAGAAAGTGTGTTTGAAGAATGGTGTGCTCATCACGCCACTCATTGCACCTACAGAAATCGTTTTCCGTTTGTACCTTCTAAAAGGAGCATTTCTCTGAGCAGACTAAATGGTTATCAAGAATGAATTATATATGGTTTTCAAACTCTGGGACTGGGACGAATGTTTTGAGACTTACCATTCTCAACAGACGGGACACCTGCTGAACTCCCCCCAACAATGTACACACATCACGTTAGAGCACTGACTGCCCCATGGAAGTCAGCTTCTGATCTGCTGCCATCAGTTGTTATATGTGGGAACAGAGTTGAGTCATTGTAGAGCATTTAAATTTCCCCAGTCCTTTTAAGGGGCCAGGAAGTCCAACTTAAATATTCTTCTGTATATTTCAAGAAAAATAATTATATATAAACATAGTCCCATCCCTAATATTTGCAGAGCCCAAAGCAAGATTGTAAATACAAGCCCACATATCATGTGTAAAAATTTTAAAGTTGTAAAGCAGACTAAAAAAAAAACTATTAAATACATGAAGGAAGGAAGGAAGGAAGACCAACAAACTGATAAATATAATATGCCTTCATGATAGCCTAGAACGTGCAGGTTCAAATTCAACATTGTCAGTTCCTCAAGAACACTCCAGAACATAGCTGGTCCCCAGCCCCTACCAGTCTTTTCTTTCCACTCTGGCTCTGTCCTGCATCTTGAGGGCTCTCACAGGTATGTACATGAACATTCTTGCCCAACATCCAGGTAGCCGCTCTTTGCCCCTAGAGGTGCTCACTCTTGCAGTGCCGTCTGCCCTCAGGAAGGTCGATGGAGGAAGGGGGCTACGTAGGCTCTGTGAATGGACTCAAGTCCATCTGGGCAGGGAATTCTGGGGTCTGGGAATTCAGAATGTGGCCCAGAAGGAGAAGGAGTAGTTCCCTTGCCTGGCAGACCCTTCACTCACTGGAGAGCGAGGGCCTTTAAAATATGGCCAGGTCTAAGAATGATTCTACATAAACAAGTAGCTTTAAGATTAGAAAGTTGAATAAAACAATTTTGGCAGTTTAGTTTTCCCCTTGGGCTCAGTCAGTAGATTTGTCCTTGGCGTTAACATACCCAATGTATCTTCAAGTTGCCCAGTGGAAGCATCGCTAACTGGTTGTACAGAGCATTTTGGTTGGGGGCTCTGGTCACACCCCAACCTCTAGACTCAAAGGTGAGTGAAGTCATACAAAGTCAACTTTGAAAAGGAAAGTAATCTGAAGCACAGTTGTTCTGGCTGCGCCTGGGTTCTCCCAGAGTTGGAAAAACAAACTTGAATACAGAAAAATGAAACGGTAGTGACCATGATTAACACATAGGGAGCTTTTAGTATATTTGTACCACTTTTGCCCCGTACGATTTTGCCATACTGTATTAGTTTACCTTCTTAAAAAGGAGAAATGTAGGGCGCCTGGGTGGCTCAGTTGGTTAAGCGACTGCCTTCGGCTCAGGTCATGATCCTGGAGTCCCAGGATCGAGTCCCGCATCGGGCTCCCTGCTCAGCAGGGAGTCTGTTTCTCCCTCTGACCCTCCCCTGTCTCATGCTCTCTCTCTCTATCTCATTCTCTCTCAAATAAATAAATAAAATCTTAAAAAAAAAAAAAAGGAGAAATGTAATGTATTATATTATGACCATGTGGTAGTCTGGAGGGTCTCACCAGGAAAAAGATGTCACACACAAAGATGGAAGATTTAATCACAAAGGGACCATTCATTAGACAAGGTTGGGGTAGAGGAGAGTGAATGAGGTAGCCTAGCAACCTGGGGTCAGGAGGAGGAGAGCCCAAAGAACAGGGAGGGAGTGGTTACCAAAATGTGGAAGGACAGGAAGTCACTCTGAAAAAAACAGTGACCTTTAGTTGACAGACATGGGCCAGTCTGAGGCAACCTCACAGGGAGGGCTCCAGGTGGATGAATACTCCACGCTCACTCTCCTTCCTGAGCCCCTCCAGTCTCCTGCTGGGGTTTCCCATTGTCCAAATCCATAGAGAGGGAGCAAATCCACTTAGAGGGTCCTGCAGTCTGCCTCCCGGGGGCCACAGTGCAGGACAGAGGCGTAGCCAAAGTAAATGCTGGACAGCCAGCGCACAGCATCACTGAGTATGTTCAATTTCTCTACCCAGAGAGTCTTCCTCAAGTGGTCACAGATTTACCAGCGTCTAAAGGAAAATATGCCATTCTACGGTGACAATGGTCACAACTAAACTTAGTCCAAAGACAGGAAGTTGGGTAGTGGACAGTGGCTCAGCCAACACCAGCCTCTCTCTGCCCATTTTATAAGTTGCTTCTGCTTTCTAGAATGACATACACCCTTCTCTGTGGCCCTCAGGCCACACCTGAAAATGAACGTGGACACAGGAAAGACAGCAGCGATGGGGCAGAGCATTTCATAAGGAGGACAGAAAGCCATAGAGCTACTTGCCCAGATCACAACTGTGCTAGCCGGACTAGCTGGAGAAAGGGACGGCAGGGATTGCTCATGAGAGAGGACGGAGTGCACGTTGCAAGTGGTGCCCAAAGGAGATGGGGACGACAGACGTCTGCTTCCCTCTTTGAGGAATAGTGGACTTGGGAATGTTTGAGCCGGGGCAGAAAGATTCTGTGTTCTCTGTGATGAGCAAACGTTATTTTTTTCTCAATTGGAAAAGAAAATGAAAGTCATCATTTTGAGAGAAAAACAAAATGACCAGGAGTTTACCTGTTTGGCTACCTTCTTATGTCATTTTCTTTTCTCATTTCTTCTCTGCTTCCCACTGATTCAGATGTGTCTGATTCAGGTAACGTTCAGCCACCCTTCCCAGGGTTCTCGGTTGTTTTCTTAACAAAGCCACCCGCCGGGCTGTCCTGCCAGGCTGCTCCCTGAATGCCCCTTCCAGCTTGGGCAGGATCAGTGGGGGGGTGGAGAGTGGCAGAGAGGGGCTCAGGGGCAGGGATACACTCCAACCCAGCCTGCCCCGCACCTCTCCTGGGCTAGTGCATGGACCCACCCCTCCCCCCTCCATCCCTCAGCATATCCGGTCTAGTGAGGTCTGGTTCCACTGACCCCAGGGGTAGACGTGAAGGGGGACAGCATTCACAACAGAGCTGGGGTCCACCCTCACGGAAATGCTTGCTTTGAGCAGACCCCAGCCTTCCAGGTGATGTGTGCAAGGGTAGACAGCTCCCAGAAAGACAGCTCCACCTGCGACCCTCACTCTGTTCATACAACAATCGTAACACTTGGTGTGTTTCATCCTGTGCTTTTGAAGGACTGCATTTAAAATTTTTTTCCGTATCTTTTTCTTGCCATCTTAACTTACATCCCTTTGATTCCAGCTTCCGCACAAGTTTAGGCTTTCTGAGCATGCTTCTTAGACTTTAGGATGCTTGAGTTCAGTTCTTACTGACTTATAACCACACGGGGAAATACAGAGTAGAATTTTTGCAAGCTAAGATTCCCATCCTCTATAGAGAGGGCAGATGTTTTAAGGCAGCTTGAGGGGCCCCATTACCTCTCTGCTCTGAAGGAAACAGCACTGGAGTAAACTGTAAGCAAAGGGAATCTTAGCCGAAGGAGACCGCAGAAGGGCTGGTCAGCTGCCCAGATTATTGGTGAGCGCTTGTTACTGTATCCACCTCACCTGCCTTTCTGCAGGGCGATGCCTGGATCTCTCTTGCCTTACGGGACAGCCCCGGGGGCCGCAGGCTCTGTTTTTTAAGGCCAACATGTATTGCTGACCTGTTAGGTGTGCAAAGCATTAAGGTGAAGTCAACATCATCTTGGCCCTCCAAGCTTGGGCCATATGGGAGTATTTTGTATGACCTCTGACTCGGCCTTACCATGCAACTGTGTCATCGGCAGACTTGGGGATTTTCCGACGGGCCTCGATGGTGTTCTACACGGACTTCATCCAGCAGTGCGGCCGGCCTCTGTACATGGTACGTGCATGCTCCGGTGTGCCTTGGCCTTCTCCCAGAGAGCCAGGGAACAGGAGGAGGGGCAAGCTCGGGGCAGACACTCAGGTTCCCTAAATCAAGAGAGCCAGATGGCCCAGGGTGGCTGAGGTCCAGTTAGGGGGAAGAAGCATGTTATTTACTCTTCTTGCTCATGAAAAAGCAAGCTGGGATGGATCTATTTTTACACATGAAATGTTGCTAGTGTATACAGAGAACATATGTGTATACATAGAAAACTACTAAACAGTGACAATTGCCGTGGGGAAGGATCAAGGCAGGGCCTCCGTGTATAAAATCATCCAAAGAGGTATGATTATTTCGCTTGGGGAAGGGAAAAGAGCACCCACTCAGTAATTGTACCAAGACAGCAGGCTCAAACCAGGCCTGTCCCAAGCAAACCGGGGCACATCTCACTCCAGTTGCTTTCAGTAAGACCTTACGCTTTCCACATTATACATTTGTTTGATTTTTATACATTGTTTGATTTTTACAGTGGGCAAGAATATTCTTTCAAAATGATGGTTATTACTTAGTGGCTGAAATACAAGTCCTAAAAATTCACCATCATTGTTTTCAGTATATTGTACATTGCTCCATGGAATAGAGGGACTGGGGCGCTGGTCCCAGCTCTATCTCGACTCACTGGCCAGTGACCTTGGGAAGGTCACATACGTCCCTTGAGTCACTGCCCCACCCTTTACAGGGTGCTGTGACCAGAACTGGTGATGCTGTTTGGGCCTGGCACACAGGAGTTCCCTAAGTACCTGCTCATAGTTTACGATCCAAGGAAGTTTACATAAAGGAATATGAGAATATTTCAGCCCTCTAGAGCTTGGGCAGGAGCTATAGGCACTAAAAATTGAAGGGATTGAGGCTGAAGGGTTTTATTCACAGGACAACTTAAAAATGCAGTAGGACCTGTGAGTATTTTGAGAGTTAAGCATGCTTTAGCTGTGAGCCAGGAAGAGCAATTAATGTTTTGTTTACTTGCTTACATTAAGTGACGCAGGCTGTCTTTTTTTTTTTTTTCTAATAGACTATTTTTTTAGAGCCACTTTTTAGGATCACAAAAAAATGGAGCAGAAAATACAGAGATTTCCCATCAATCCCTTCCCCCACCCATGCACAGCCTCCCCCACTATCAACACCCCCAACCAGAGCTGCACATCTGTTAGTCAGTAAGCCTACATGAACACATCATAATCATCCCAAGGCCATAGTTTACAGTTCACTCTTGCCCTTGTACATTCTTTGAGTTTTGACAAATTTGTAACGACACGATTCACCACTTTAGTATCATACAAAGTAGTTTCCCTGCCCTAAAAATCCTCTGTGCTCCACTGTACTTCCCACCACATCCCCCGCCCCGATGCCTGGCAACCACTGATCCTTTTACTGTCTCCTTAGTCTTGCCTTTGCCTGAACGTCATATAGCTGGAATAATATAGAATTTAGCCTTTTCAGATTAGCTTCTTTCATTTAATAATAGGCATTTAAGATGTCTCCATGTCTTTTCATGGCTTGGTAGCTCATTACTTTTTAGCACTGAATACTACTCCAGGTTCTCGATGCATTACTACATTTTGTTTATCCATTCACCTGTGGAAGAGCAATTTGTAACTTGGCAATTACAAATAAAGCTGCTATAAAAATTTGTGTGCAGGGGTGTCTGAATGGTTCAGTCGGTTGAGCATCTGACTCTTGATCTCAGCTCAGGTCTTGATCTCACGGTCATGAGTTCGAGCCCCACATTGGGCTCTGCACTGGGCGTGGAGCCTACTTAAAAAAAAAATCCATGTGCAGGTTTTTGTGTGGGCCTATGTTATAAACTCCTTTGGACAAATACCTAGGAGGGCAGTTTCCCTATCATATGGCAAAAATATATTTAGTTTTCTAAGACACTGTCAAACCATCGTCCAAAGTGGCTAAACTATTTTGCATTCCCAGCAGCAATGAATGAGCATTCCTGTTGCTCCACATTATCACTGATATTTGGTGGGGCCAACATTTTAGCCTTTCTGATAGATGGATTCATTTTTTTTTTAAGAATTTATTTATTTATTTGACAGAGAGAGAGACAGCAAGAGAGGGAACACAAGCAGGGGGAGTGGGAGAGGGAGAAGCAGGCTTCCTGCTGAGCAGGGAGCCCAATGTGGGGCTCGATCCCAGTACCCTGGTGTCATGACCTGAGCCAAAGACAGACGCTTAACGACAGAGCCACCCAGGCATCCCAAGATGAATTTTTTTTTTTAATGAAGATATTTCCTCCAAACCGAATGGATCATCCACAAAGACAGAAAATTGCCACTTTTAAAGAGTTGACGAGGCCATGCAAATTAAAGTATAATCAGAAACCACCAGAAGTTTTAAGTTGTATGCAAATGTGCAGGACCAGATTGTGAATTAATCTCTGTCAGAGCCATTTTCCTTTGAGATGGACCTTTCCTATTTCCCCACTACCAATGTCTTTAGTGTTGAGGCTGTGTGTTTAGAGACCAGGAGCCTGGGAGCTGCAGGGCCTCCCTGGAGCCAGAGTAATGGGTAGGAAACCAGCGCCTCCCAGGTGAGTCCCAAGAGCCGCCTCGTGGCCCACGAAGTAACACAACGCAGGGGAACACCAGGAGCAGAAAGCTTTTAACTACTCGGTCAGCTGCACACACCTCCAACCTGCTCACCAAGAAGTGGGCCCCAGGTGCCCAGCGACCCGCAACATTAGGGGGAAACAGTAAGAGTCCTGTTTACTCACCACATCTTCTTTAACGAAGTCACGTCTATTCAGTCCCAGGCCTTGCTTTTTGTTCTCGTGGGGGATTAGGGTCCGAGGGCAGGTGCAGCTCTCTTAGAACCATGGAAACTCTTCCACCGGGCAGTTGTTTTCCCGTAATCGATGCTTCCCCTGTGGTAAGTTAAAAGAAAAGCAATGTGTGCAGCCTCTCATTTGATGTTTTCTTACCAGGACAGAATGGTGTTGCTCATCTTGGGGAATCTGTTTAACGGGTCCTTGTAAGTAGCCTTAGGAAGACACGTCTTTTCTCTTTGCTGATGTCTGTAACACTGTGGTTTCGCTTTCCTTGGCCGTCATTTTTATAAAGAAATCTGAAACTAAGGTGAGTGTAGGACTGTGCTTGCCCTAGGGACTTGAAAGAAAGGTATTTTTCCTCCTGCAAAGAATGCACTAGGAAGCCTAGTGTACCGACAGTGGCCTCTCCTCAAACGTTGAGTTCAGCTCATTGCATTGATGCATCGTGTTCATTTGCTCAACAAGACCAACATCAAATTTGTTATCTATGTCAACAGACTACATAGATAGTTAGATAATAGAGATTATGCCAGTAGGTGCACAAATGAAGCATAGTTTTAAATTCTTGTGAACTCTCCATAAACGCTACCCAGTAGACATTTCCCTTTCTTACTAAGTGTGGGTGTGGGTGTGGGTGTATGTGTGTGTGTACAAGTCTCTTTCCTATTTCTTTCTTTCCCTGTAGGTCTCAATCTTCCTACGACCCCAATATCCTTCTTCTTCCTCTTTCCCTTCATTATCACCTTGGCTTTTTTTCTTCAAATGGCTTCAAAATAGAACAGTACAATAGACATATATTTTGCTATCTCTAACTATTTTATACAACCTGTTCTCAACTTTAAAATGTGAGTAAGTGAGATATTTTATTAATCCCTAAAAAAAAATCAGTAAGTTTAGTTGCTTTTATTCATGCTCTTAGCTGATGTACTATAAAGGTTAGCGACCTGTGATGGAAAGATGACTCCATACCCCTGCCCCCCTTTAAGACATGAAAGGAATGGAAGAAGAGGCACACCTTCAGGGGAAGCCAGAATCTGGTCATGAGAATTCGAATCTTACTTGGGGCATATGCTTCTGGAAAAGTCTTCCCATAGTGTTGTCACCCCGGGATGACTCCGGGTAAGGTCCACACCTGTGAAGGACCCCTCCTTTATATAGGGATACGTCAGGGTGGGTGATTCTTGGCAGTGCTCACCTGTGGTGCTCTTCTTGACCACTCTTTGAGGGCAGACCCCACAGTCCTGATGACCGTAAGACAGGGTGCTGGGTGCTGGGTGCTGGTAGGAGGAAAGGGACCAGCTGCTTGATGATGAGCCACCAACACCCATGTCCCCAGTGCTCACAATCACCTGGCTTGTCCCTGCCTCTCATGTAACCAAAACCAAACCCATCATCTGCTCACAAGACAAGGTGACTGGCCTCTCTTTTCTTATACAGGAGCTCCTTGGGCATCCAGGCCTGCAGGGATGAATGAGGTGTGATGACACACCAACACTGTGATGGCCTGGGAGGGGGTTACCTTCCTCTTTGTTCCTCCATCCTCAGTTTCTCCTGGACATTACAAGACAGGGAGTGATTTAATATGAACCTTGAATGTTATTTTAAAAGGAATCACTCTCATACAGTCATGAAGAAGAATGGTGTGTGTGTGTGAACACATATAGAGAGATGTCCGCATACCTATGTAGGTACACACACAGAGAGAATGAGAGAGAGGTAACCAAATGTGGCAAATGCTAATAATGGATGAATCTCAGTGAAAAGCTTACAAGAGTTTTGGTACATTGAAGAATTCAAATTCTGGGAGGAGGAAATTTCCTATATTATATAGAACAAAGTTGGTTGGAATACAAAGTGAACAAAAAGAGAGTCCATTAATAACAGCTTTACATTTCAAATACTTAGGAATAAACTTTGAGAGACAGGAGGACTCTTTCTGCAGAAAATTTAATTCCCTCATTAGGAGGCAAAAAGGAAAAGTTAACTGAACGAAGAGAGATGTTGTGCCCTGGGTGGGAAGATTAACTGTTGTAAAGATATTAGTTCTCAAGTTAATGCATAAATTTTGACTTAAAATTGGAATTAATAGGATTTTATTCTGAAATTATTTTCCTACTTAGCACAAAATTTCCAAAGGTCTCACAAAAGAAGATTAATGGAAGGAAGGAAAGAAGGGCAGAGGAGGACAGTGACTAGTCCAGTTTTATCCAACAGAACTTTCTGGAATGATATAAATCTTCTACACGGCATTGTCCCTTATGGTAGCTATTAGCCAAATATCATTACTAAACATTTGAAATGTGGCTAGTGTGACTGAGGCACTGAATTTTCAATTTTATTTAATTTTCATTAATTTAAATTTAATGGCCACATGTAGCTACCATATTGGGTAGTACAAGCTAGCCTAACCAGATAATCTAACATATTCTAAAATAATAACACAGTGACCCAAAATTAGAAATTAGAAACAAATTAGTGAAGCAGCATGGAGAGGATAGAAATCCAACTATGTATGTGCATGTGTCTATATTTATTAAAAACAAGCTTTTCAAAACAAGGACATAGGAAGGGTTCTATAATAAAGAGTTTTATTGTAACTGAATAGAAATTTGGAACATGCTAAATGCTAATGCTAAACCCCAATCAAAATAAACTTTGGTATTAATTTAAAAACCATAGACAGGGGCGCCTGGGTGGCTCAGTCGGTTAAGCGACTGCCTTCGGCTCAGGTCATGATCCTGGAGTCCCGGGATCGAGTCCCGCATCGGGCTCCCTGCTCGGCGGGGAGTCTGCTTCTCCCTCCGACCCTCCCCCCTCTCATGCTCTCTCTCTCTCATTCTCTCTCAAATAAATAAATAAAATATTTAAAAAAAAAAAAAAAAAAAAACCATAGACAGCTAGCAAAAATTTGATAATGTGTGTCCAGCCAACTTTTGAGATAATTCTACTTCTAGTAATCTAGTCTCATGAATTAATCTTAAATGCCAAAAAAAAAAAGAGAAAAGAAAAGCACACTATGTCTGAAGGTATTCATTTATTCGTTGCAGTGTTCTTTAGAATAATGAAAAGCTGCAAGACATCTAGAGAGGAAAGATGATTGTGGTACATCCACTTATGGGAACTTTACAACCATCAAAAATGCCAGGTCTGAAGGAGGTGTAGTAATTTACATAGGTTAAAGTTTTTTTGAATTCCCCTCCTCCCCAAAATACAAGTGGGGAGTGAAGCAGCCAAGAATGTTACAAATCCACCTTTATGCCTACAAAGTCATTCCTCCTTACCCTCAGCGCGCTCTATGGACTGATCTATCGGCCCAGGGACTTTGCTTCCTACATGCTGGGGATCTTCATCTGTAACCTGCTGCTCTATCTGGCCTTTTACATCATCATGAAGGTAAGAGTGGGCGCTGGGGGCCCCCCACCGGCAGCCCGGGGCCCTGCACAAGCCGTACCCCAGCATGGCAACATCTGCTTCCCACCCACAGCTTCGCAGCTCAGAGAAGCTCCTCCTGACCCCGCTCCTCTGCATCGTGGCCACTGTTGTGATGTGGGCCACCTCGCTGTACTTTTTCTTCCAGAAACCCAGCAGCTGGGAGGTAAGAAGGCAGTTTTCTTTGCAAAGAAAATGTTCTCCCTCCATCTTGCCTTTTGGACCTTCCTACCTCCCTCTCTTCGAGTGCGTGTGGCTGTTTGTCTTTGAAATGAAAGCTTTCTCTAAAAGGGATGGTATTTCCTATCCATGCATAAACGGCACGCGGTCCTCACCGTCAGGGCAGCGCCTCGTCGAGGTGGGGGCCCTCCAGACGCGGCAGAATTGATCTTCACTATGTGTTGTAGGACGATCCTCCCCCCGGTGGACGTTTAACGTGTGCAAAAACCTTGATGCGTGTGTGTTCTTCTCATAATCCACATCTGTAAACAGATCCCCAGCTGCCGGTGTTTATAAACCTGCGGCATAGAGAGGAGAGCTGAGGCCTAGGAAACCAGGGCTACACCCAGGAGCAAACAGGAAGCCTCAGCTCTCCACCGCCACAATCAATCAACTAGAACATTTTCATCACTCCAGAAAGCAAGCCTGAGCCCATTAGCCATCGCTCCCCACTTCTCCCTCACGCCTTAGCCATAGGCAACCACTAGTCTCTCTTCTGTCTCTGTAGCTCTGCCCGTTCTGAACATTTCATATCCATGGGCCATACAGCATGTGCCTTTGAGTCTGGCTTAGGCATTCATCCATGGGGTAGCACGTATCCATAGCCATCTCTTTTTACTGCTGAATAACACTCCGTTGTGTGGAGACAGCACTTCTCCTCTATAATCAGCTGATGGACTTTTGGATTGTTTCCGCTCTTTGGCTCTTACGAACGCTGCCACGGTGAACATCATGTACAAGTTTTCACGTGGACTCAGGTTTTCTTGGAAGCTCGCTTTTGGAGCCAGGCATCTAATCTAGTAGCCTTTTTGTAGCTTTCTGGACGTTCAGCCCTCTAAACAGTTGAACTGTGGGAATGCTCACTCACGTCCTGCCTCGCCTGCCTCCAGGACACCCCAGCTGAATCCCGGGAGAGGAACCGGGAGTGTATCCTGCTGGATTTCTTTGATGACCATGACATCTGGCACTTCCTCTCTGCCACTGCCCTGTTTTTCTCATTCTTGGTGAGTTTATAAATACCTTTTTTTTTTTTTAAGAAATATACACTTTTAAAAAAGATTTTATTCACTTATTTGAGAGAGAGTGAGCAAGAGAGAAATGGAGCAGGGGGGAGAGGCAGAGGGAGAGGGAGAAGCAGACTCCCTGCTGAGCAGGGAGCCCAACTCGGGACTCAATCCCAGGACCCTGAGATCATGACCTGAGTGGAAGGCAGATGTTTAACCTTCTGAGCCACCCAGGCACCCCTAAAAATACCTTTTTGTTAATTTCTTCTTTCTTCACATCCCATACTTTTTTTTCTTTTTTCCCCTCTTCCTTACCCTTTTGTATTTCTCTTGAACTTCCCTTTCTGATTCCTCAATGTAATTCAATATACAGACTATTTTATTTCTTCTCCTTCAGTTAGATCTTTATTTTCGTTTTCCTTTTACTCTCCAATATTTTAAGACAGAGTGACAAAATGATTTTTCTTAAATGGCACAACGCCTGGGCTGAATTGGTTGTTAGAACTCACATGCCCTGAATCGCCCCAGGAATCACTTTTGGCATTCACTCACATTTGGGTAACGTACTTGTGCTACCCTCACATTCCTCCTCCTCTTCCAGTCTCACTGAATATCTTACAGATATTTTACAAATTCCTAGAGCTCTCAGGAGATCCGCCCAGGCCCCTCTGCTGCTTCTCACCCAGTCGGCCCCAGATCTCTCCTGAAATCCCTCCATTTCTTTTGGCCCAAACACCTTTCCAGAAGCTATGCATGGCCTAACAACCTTGAATGATCACTCCTGGCATCCTTTCATCCTCACTTAGAGACTTTTCCAAATTAAAAGTCTGCGAAGCCTGGACACGGATTCAGCTGGCAAGTAACAACGCGGCGAGACCTGTGCTCCCTGCGCTGCCGCCGCTCAGCCTCGAGAGTGGAGCGGGGCTGCCCCCTCGTGACCATCCGGGGAAGCTCAACAATCCTCCTAAACCTCGTTCCTCGTGACTTTTATTTCTGATAAACACTTTCATTAGAGAGACAGACAACAAAAGGGGAGTGCAAGTTTCCACGTGAAGAGAGTGGTGGTAGAGGGAACTAAAAATGGAGGAGGGGGTGTGCATTTCTTGTATAGCAATACTCTACGCAACAAGACTTCCTTTCCTCTAGATCTTAAGCCCAGTGTCCCCTTCTAAGTTATGACTTCCTGGCCACCCTATCAGCACTTTTTTACCTTTCCCCAGCCCATACTTCCTGTGTTCCCTCCATAGTCTAATTTTCGTTACTGTTTTTATTACGTGTTATTACCTCGTACACTGTACTTAGCACACCTCACTAGCCTGCTACAAGTATTTGCTCATGTCTGAAGCTGTCTCTCAAATGTAAGCTCCAGGACGGTAGGGAGTTTTGTCTCTTGTGTTCCAAACTGTACCTCTGGCATTTAGAATAGCACATAATAGACCCTTGATAAACATTTGAATTAATTAATACGTGAACTATGTAATCCTAATAATCGCCTGTAGAGAGCGCTGCGTTGCAGAAAGCTGTAGGGGACAGAAAGGCAAGTAAGGGCGCCGGTCGCGCCAGCCTGTGTGAGTCTCAGGGAGAAAGTAGCGGCTGACCCTGGCTTCATCTCTCTGTCCCTCTCGTTCCAGGTTCTGTTAACCCTGGATGATGACCTGGATGTGGTCCACAGAGACCAGATCCCTGTCTTCTGAGCCTCCAGCTTTAAGAGAGGGAGAGGGAGCAGTCGATCTAGGTGCTGTTTCATGAAAATACAGGGACCAAAAAAAAAAAGAAAATACAGGGACTGCCGCAAAGTCACCACCGCCAAGTACTCCACTCCCACTCTGTCAAGTCAGCTCTGCACACATTTCCATAGGAAGGAGAGGGGCTGGAGGGAGACTGTAGTCTGCCAGAAGGGGGGCAGAGGGGAAGCCACGGGTATGGCCAGAGGCAAGCCCTGAAGAGTCAAGAGACCCCCATCCCCTCCCGTGTGCAGCCCTGAACTAGACGTGGACAAAAGCTGCATCGAAGTCAACTCACTGTCTCGAGACCCCTCCCACCCTCACCCGACATTTGCCAGCAAGGGCAGGCGACGCCGCACGCTCCATCCAGCTGCCTCCAGGCCCCGAGAGGCCAGCAGCTTGGGTCTCCTGCCCACTTTAGGGGGGGCCCCTCTGTACCTCCACTACATCTGCTGCTCTAGACATCCCAGAGCACCAGCTCGCTCCTCTGAGGTCCAGGGATGACGCAGATTCCTCAGAGTCTGGTGGAGGGCTGAACCCAACCCCCTACCCAACTGGGATAGATATTTTAGCAGGACCAGCCAGTCACCTCCTTGGAAGGAAGGCTGTATGTGTCCCCCAGGTTCCTGACCCCATTAGAAGGGCTGTGGATTGGGCTTTGTCACACACTTGTCCTCACAGGTGACTGTCTCTGGGACCAAGGCTTGGGTGCTTACCTACTTCTTAGTGTCTTCATCTCACCCCTGTGGGCTGACCCCACAACTCAGGCTCCGCTTTCTTGGGAAGGCCCTGTTACCCCCTCAGCTCCAAGGCAGAAGGGGAAACAGGAGAAACTCTTCTAGCAGCAGGAGTGAGAGGAACGACCAACAGGGCTGACAGACTGGCAACATCAGCATCAAGCAAGCAGACCTCACCCTAAGGACATGGGCTCCTGGGGCGAATGCAGCAAAGGCGAAATTGCTTCCTCATGCCTCCAATTCAGACAGCTCAATTCTGTGCCCACGTCACCTGTGGAGAATGAACAATTGCTCTAACCAGAGGCACTGCACTGGGGGTCCTCCACCACCGACCAAGCCCCCTACCTGGCACTTTATGCGGATCAGGGGCTCCAGATTTTCTCCCTGAAGTTCTCTAGAAGTAACTCTCGGGGTGAACACATTTTACTCATCCTCCTGAGTTGTGAAGAGCAAGCCGATTGAGGATTGTCTTTTGGTTGCACCTGATTCTCATTCTCTCCCCCAGTAAAGTGTTGCAGAGCTCAGCATCCCACTTCACTCATGCTGTCTGGCAATTCTGCTCCTGACAAGCCCCATTTGGACCAAGCACCCTCATTACCTGGAGTAAGATGTAATCAGAAAATAGACATATGAATGTGTACCCCATATATATTTGCCTGTGAAACTGAAGTCACCTGTCACTTCTGTTTTCCTGATCGTTCATTAGAGAAATGGATAATATTAAAAAGTATATATTATTCTGTCTCTAAAATATTTGCATAATGTTCAAAATCACATTTTGGAAGTTTGAAAAGTTTAAAAACACAAAGATGCTTTTAAAGAAGCTTTTTATGATTTGTTTTTCTAAAATGCCCCCAAATTCATGTTTGGTTTTCTGCTCTTTATTCCTTAGAAACTGTTGGCTTCCATAGGCCACACGAAGGCCACCTATTAAATGGTGGTGTTAGTCTAACATCTAAAACAAATTTCAAATCTGTTTAACTATGGCGTATTTGATCTAATTCTTTTATTTTAGTGCACTGATGGTTTCAAATCAAAAAAAAAAAAAAAAAGGTGCACTAAGGAAATATGGACAAAGTCTGTTCGAGTGGCCAAAGTGAATAAACCGTGACATGCGTTACCCGAGCAGTCGCTTATTTGGGGAATGTGTCTGTGGGAATGGGGCGGGGCTCTGAAAAGGGGGGGCTGCCGTGTTCTTGACTGTTTTCCCATCATGTCTGTATTGTGCTGTAAACCCACACACTGGTCAGTTCTCTTCGCCGCCGCAGGACTGAAGACGCAGACCAAGCCTGCTCTTAGAGCCATCAATTCTAAACATACTTGGGGCTAGTTCTTTCTACCGTGCCCCAGCGCCGCGGCCGGAGGACATGAGAAAGTCATCCGGCTGCATCCGTGGGGTTGATAGGAATGGGGGGGCGGAGGGGGGCAACCGGAGCTTTTCACGGCCGACTGGCCCCCCATCCCCAGGTAGTGCAATGCCCATGCGGCTTGCGCCTGCGCTCATGGACATTGCACTTTAAAAGAGAAGCGAAGGTAATTCTGAAGGCCAAGTTCAGCAAGAGGGTAACCGGAGAAAACAGCCACCGTGAAGAGGCTTTTGGCCGAGCAGGCACAGAAGTAATCAGAGCCGGTCAGGGGGATCAGGACAGAGGTGTGGCGGCCAGAGGAGCGAAGCCATGCACATAAAAAAATGACCTCTTCACACCTCTGACAAATGCTGGAGGGGCAAGCCCACCTGTTGACGTTGCATGGTTGAGGGATTAGCCTGGTTTTATTTTAGCAGCAGGAGAAGCCGGTGGAAAGCCAGAGTCCATCTGGGGAAGGGACTTTCCGTGACTGAAGGCACTCACCCAGCCAGCTTCCCGGGCCAGAGAAAGCAGCAGCCGCTTCCTTCATATCTCCGAGCAGCCACCAGAATGTTCTGTGGGGTCACCAAACGTATGTGTCAGCGAACCCAGCAACATCCAGATGTTTCTCATTCTGGGAGATAGTGTCTCTTGGTAAAGCTTGGGAGAAAGGGAGAAACAAAGATAAACATTATTCATGGAAGGAACGGTGGAGTCTGAGAAAGATTCTGGAGTCTGATTTTAGACCAAATATGTTCACATGCTCGCTATGTGACCTGGGGCAAGTTGCTGGAGCTCTCTGATCCTCTCCTGTCACGTCCACTACGTGGGGGAGACAGAAGTGGAGATGTGCAGAGCCCCGAGGGTAGTGTGGGGACAGAGGAGGGTGTCACGCACCCCGCCCCTCGTGAACCCCACAGAGGGTCAGCCTGTCCACCAGGCTGGCCTCTCTCTCCTCTAGGGGCTCTCCATTGACACCCGCTGTTCCGTTTCCTGTCCTCAGTTCCAGGAGGCCTGGAAGGGCTTTGCGGGGGGGCTCTTTGCCTTCAGAGATACTGTCCAGAGATATCAAACCTCCCAGCCCCGGGGCCCCCTTGCCCTTTATTGCTGCACGTCACTGCCTCTGGCCCTTAATACTCTTACTCCAACCCAGATGAAAAATCACTACCAAAGCTACAGCCAAGTGGAAAACACGGCTCTCTGTGTCACCCCTCATTACCACCATCTCTGCCCCGGGAATCTCCAAGAAACCTGGATTTTCTCCTTTCTCGAGTAGCAGTTCCTACCGTGGTTCAGGGAATGCCCTGTGCAAATGTTCCCCCCACCCTCCCTGCCCCGTCACCAAATGCTCTGTGGGGAAAGCCTGGATGTTCAGCCTACATGAAGAGGGGCTTCGGCCTGTGGGAAACAGAAATGGTCCCAGAAAGAAGCAGGAGAAGCTCACCCAGGTTTTGAAATGACTAATACCGCTGGTGAAACTAAGGAAAAGCATTATGAGTAAAGATATGATCTGCCTCTGCCTGAAGCAATGTAAAAGCCTTGTTTAGCATGATTCTGCCCAGTTTATGGTAGGTTTTTTGTGGTGGTTGTTAACGCTGTTTGGTGGAGACAGGATATATTGTGTGACTAGGTTTTAATGTCCCCTCAATATTAAAGCACCATCGTCAATGAGGTAAAGTGCCTGCTAAACCTTAGGCCTTAACACACATGAATTCAAATAAGCTTCACAGGACTTGCAGATCAGCCTTCACCATGAGTTTCTAAAAGGGCCATAGTAATAGTTTTGCTTGGATGGGACTCCTCTGTGAGAAGAGACCCTACTCTGTGAACTCCAAGGGCGGACTTTTTAACCGGTTTCCTTCAAGTGTGGTCTTGCTGTTCTTATTGAAACACAAGGAAGACTAAATTGTTACCACTGTTCACATAGAATTACCCGTTGTTCTCCCAATCTCAGGGAAATGGACTCTACCCGCTTCCTAAATATCCCTAGAGTAGGAGATTTCATCATTTTCCCTGAACTTCAATTTTTAAAAAATTCCTTGGCTCTATCCTTTGTCCTTTTCATTACCTTAAAGTTTTTATCATCTCAGATTTACCCATCTCAATGGTGATGAAAAATAATTAACCACCATATTTTAACATAGAATAGCCTTGAAGTCGTATCACATCTCAGTCAAGGGCTAAATAAAGTCTAGGTGTTTTATCTCTTGTCCAGCACTATAGTTTTGATTTAAAAAATAAGAGATTCAAACCGTGAAAGATTTTCAAGTCAGGACAAAAGAAGTCTAACACCCAAGCCCACTATGGCTCGCTCTTGGGCCCTCCCCGGCCCTATCTTCCCACATTCTTTATGAATTAGGACCCTAAGTCATTTTTAAATGACTATCGAGGTATCCAAAACAACTCAAAAGCTCTCTATAACATTGCCATCACAGAAAAAAGTTGATTTGCATTTTATGATTTTTATTATGTTGCCTATCCAAGCCTTTCATAAGGCTCAGTACCCAGTCCTAGGCAGGCCCCTTCAGGGAAGAGGACAAATTCAAACCTGAGGTTCACTCTGCTTCTCTCTCAACATAGGACACCTGATAAAGTAACCTAATTTTCAGGGGATCCATTTCTCTTTTAACCTCTCCTTCCTCACCTATTCTCTGTCCACTTACATAGAATCTGAAATACTGCTTTGGCTAATAGTCAAGAAGTACATAGGCCAGGCTCTGTGAGGAGCTGGACACAGCAGTGGGCAAAACACACAGTCTCTTCCATCACAGGGAAGAGTCACTTGTGGTCCAAAAGGGAAGATGGACATGAAGCACATACTCACAATTTGTCAGTTATAAGTGGGCCAAGTGCTCCAACAAGAGAGTGGCCTTCTGAGAATCTTACCATTAGACACAAAGCAGAAAAAATTCCAAATAAGTATCAGCAATTTTTATCCCCAGATGTGAAGCCCTAAACTTGCTGCTGATACAACATAGCATCTCTCCTGCTTGAACTGACCATGTCCAATTTTTCATAAGGAAAATGAAAGTCCCAATTTTGATCTTAGCGGAGAACAGAGATCCAGAGAGAGAAAGTTGGAGTGGGGATCCTCTCAATCCATCCTCGAGGAAGCAAAAATTGCTCCAGCTCCCTAATTCTGAGGAACTGCAATGACCCATCCCTGCTGGAGGACAAGCAGGAGACTGAGCTTTTCCATCTGCCCTTTTAGTGGGGTCTTGCTGTTGGAAAACATTGTCTTCCCACCTCTAGCCCTAGAACATTAGAGTCGGCAGAACGGATCATTAAAACAGCAAACATTTGTCATCGTGTATCGTATCAAGAGTTTTATATACATTACCATCTTTAATCCTGAACACCCCCCCCACACACACACACCCCACCCCCCACCCTACCCCCGTGAAGTAGGCGCTGTTACTACATTTGCCAGATGGGGAAACCGACACTTAAGTCACTGTTGACTAGATGAAGTGAATGGTGCAGAAACCTGGATTCACAGCCCAAAAGGAGTAGCTTAGGTAAAGAGACCAGAGAAAGGGAAGACCGAGTGTGCTGTAAGGCAGGCTCTACTCTCATGTATGCATGTAACTATATGTACAAACCACATAGCCTAGAATTATGTAACTATTGAACACATTAACAAAAAGAGAAGGTTTCAGCAAAATTCAGAAGATGTCTATCTCTTATATAAACCTGAATAACAATGAAACCTACCATGCCTTGGGAAAGCCAACCGATAAAACCACGGCTTTGGATCACTTTGGCTCTCTTAAACTGGAACGGCTGGATTCACGGGAGGGCCGTTGCTCTGAGTTTGAAACGTTAAAAACCAAAGTCCATTTTATAAATTCAGTGATCGTACTTGGCAAAGGGCTACAGGCCCACTGATCCATTTTAAATTAAAATACATGCAGCATAAGGTGTCAGGTTTCCACTGGAAGCCTGCTGGTTCAGAAGCAAAATTAACAATGGAGCGAAAGCACAGGAATGTAGAGGGTTTCTATTTCCTAAAAAACATTCACAGACTCAAAAAATCGCCAAGTCAAAAAGTCCTCCAAAGCTGCCTCTCAGATTGATCTATGCTGGTCCAATAGATCAGGCAGAATCCACCACTCCTGTCAGTGGCTGAACCATCTTCCGACGTGGGGACGGGACCCAGCTCTCCCCTCCTAGAAGAGAGTGGTTTCATCTCACCAAACTGAGGCTGAGGAACTAGCCTGCATTGAACTGGGGAATCAGAATCCTCCACTGGAAGTACAATGATTGTAGTGGTAAATGTTTTTAAATGTGTCCTGAAATAAAACCAAAAAAGAACATGACTTAGTTTGAAACACTGATATACTGACCAATTTTCTGCTATCCTAAGCTGTCTGCTGGGCTTTTATATATATATTATTTATATTTAATGTGAATTTGCACGTTTGCCACTCAGCAGCATTTAAAAAAAAATGGGATTAACCTAATTGAATCATGAGTTCCCAGAAAACTTCCCTGAAGCGGCAAGTTCTCCACCATCACAATGTGGCTTCAGCCTCTTTCCAAACCACAGATCTGAATATGATTAAGACAATGTACAAAAACAAAACCTGACCTGCCCAGCCCAAACTTAGTTAAAGGCTGGATTTTCATTATCTTCCCCCAAATCTGTAGCTTACCAGATCGTGAGAACATCGGTGGCACATTGATAACCAGTGAACCAACCTACCAGACTTCTGAACTTAAGTAGGCAGCAGATTAGCATTATCTCCCTAATTTCTCACAGAAAGAAGAAGAGGTCAAGGGGCTGTTGACATTGACCAACAAACTGTATT